GATGTTGTACCTGCAGTTTGAAAAAGGGAGTAAAATAAGTAAGAGTAAATACAAGCCTTCAGTATATCATAAAACAACCAAGCAAAAACAAAATTAACCTAAAACAAAACTGTTGCAGAGAGGGAATAAATAGCAGGGAGAGGTAGAAAAGAAAATTAAAACAAATAAAAATTAAATTAGAAACAGCACCAAATGTTGAATAGCATGTTTAACAACCACATGACATTGTTTAAATATAAAAGGATTACTGTATTGTGGACTCCATGTTGGAATATTGTCTTTTTTTGAATAAGGGGAAAAAACTGAATATTTTGTATATGTAAATATAGTCAATGAAAAAGAGGGTTTAAAGTCCCTCAGAGCCTTTGAGAGAACACTGCTCACCCTTCATGTTTTGACTGTCCAACTCACCACTGCAGGGACAGCGCTCCCTCTGTGCACCAGGTGCCAAATGTCACTGAGCATTGTCACTCTTTCTGTAACAGCGTTATGTAACGTCTGAAAGGACTGCACAGATTCTTACCCCTATGACTGGCTAATGCTCTACATGGAAATGGGGCTGGAAGCACATCTTTTACATCTTATGTATTTTCTAACATCTACCTCTAGTAATGTGATTCTAATAGCTCTCCACCGGCGCTTAAGAAGTGCTTCACCCTGCCCTCTACCCACTAGGACTGGGTTTCGTTCGATATTTGTTGGTACTGGTATCGACATGATACCCAGGTTTTGCCACCAATACTAAAACGATTTACCGAAACTAGTTTTAAGTCTCCGGGCTGGCAGCAGCCTTGGTCAGAGGCATTATGTTAATGAGTTGTCCAACCGTCCCATTCTCTTTAACGTCACATCTCAGGAACGCTTGGAGGGAATTTTACTTTTTTTTTTTCTGTTGTCTGTTTCAGAAAGTTATTATAATGACACTACGTTAACCAGCTGTTAATAAGTGATTCTGTCCTGGCTTTGTTTCCGCAGTTGCGGGCTATCAATCCCAATCTGCAGTCCCTCTCCTCTCTTGTTGTGGTTATTTTTAATTTACCTGGCACGCATCCACTTGGACTCAAGGATGAACTGATTAGATTAAACCTTTGGCTATCTGACTATAGTGAGAGACCACAAACTCTCACAAAATGCTACCCATATTTCACCCAAATCTGACATGGATCTTCCTTTCCCATCCTAAAATTGACTTCAACTCCTACATCCCCTTATTATTATTATCCCCATGTATCTGCTACATGCTAAGTACACAAATCCGGTGATCGGTTTGTGTGTCCTGCCATCTAGCAGTACCGTTAGTGAGGTGGCGTGTTGTAGTGACTCTGTGACAGCAGCATGGGTAGTTGGGTAAGCAGTGGCCCCCAGTTACTGATGAAGGCCCTTTTATATGGATGGTAATCTAGCATTATTCAAACTTGACATATTGACAGCTAGATTTCAAGTGATGTACTGTGTAATTCTAATGTACCAGCTGGCTAGCGTAATCAATCAAGAGTTGCATTTAATTATCACAGACTAGTTATTTTAGTCAAAATGTTGCAAATATGAATTCTTTTTTTGGAGATTAATTAATGAATCGCCTAGCATGCGAGCAATTGTATGGTCTCAGACAGGAAGTAAAGGCTTGTGTCTTTCACATTCAGTTTTTGTCTCAAGTTTGCCTCTACTGTTGGATCAGCTGAAACCTGCACAGCTTCTTCCCCAATTCCTACACATTGTTGTAAAAGTAAGATTACATAGAAAGTAAGTAGAAAATGTTACACTTTGTACACACACACACACACACAATACTGTAGGGAGACAACACTGCAGTAATGGCGACTTGTTTACTTCCATTACCCCAGATTCATCTATATGCTACTCCTGATTGTGAAATTGTGATCATATTTCACAGTTGGTCAAGTACTGAATTGGTGACACTAATCTTGGTTGTCCACCTTCAAACTGTGCTGATTGTATGTTTGTTTGTAGCTTCTTTGCAGCAACATTGAAGTCCACCACTACTTGTGGTTTTATTGGTTTTGCTGATGTTGATTGTCATTGCACCATGTGACAAAGCTCTCGATCAGTTCTCTGTCAAGAAATACAGCACTGGAAACATCTCACTGGAATCATACATTCAATACATACAAATTTTAGCAAGAACTTTGTCTAAGGGTACATTCACACAGGTACTGACTCATGGTCTGTTTTTCCACAATAGTGTGAACAGCACAAAGCACATGGAATCTGATCTGTCCAATCCTGTTTCAGGCCACTTTCATTTCAGATTTGTTTGTTTGCTTTCTGACCTGTGAATCAGATCAGATCAGATCAGCATGTGAATCAGAATGTAACTTTTACGAAACTCTAGATCTACATTCATTATGCGGGGCAGAATCTGATATGAGCCACCTTTTAACAAATTGAAAAAAAATATTAATTGAGTCCTAAAGCTTGCAGTTTCAGCGTATCTTAAATAAAATTGTCTCAAACTGGCAAAACTCTGATTTATATCAGGAACTATCTGAAAGAATAAGCAGACAGGATGCTGGACATGTCCTGGAATATTAGAGACTAGTACTTCAGTCATGGAATGGCCATCCTGGAAATACACCATGTTGTCCTGGGAATTTCATTTCAGCTAGGGGTGTAAGAAAATATTGTAAAATATATTACTGTTTTGTGATGTTATGTCGATTTTCACAGTGTATTTATGTTTAAAGCCCCAACTGCTAGATAGCAGTGTTTTAAACTTAAACTGAGGGCAGTGTTGTTGTATGTTACAGGGACTGTGATCAATACAAATACAGATCCCACTGTTCTGGTTGCATAAAAATATTAACTTTTTCTTTACTCTAATTTTATGCATATGGTGGTGTGTTTATACTGTGACATTTTTCCTAAAATGTGATCTTTTTTAAAAATTACAATATATTGCCTAGCTTACATTATACACAATATATTGAAATACACAATACACAGCCCTAATTTCAGCCCCTCACTCAGATTGGCAGCATAAACTTTGGGGTGTATTTAGATTGAAACTCGACTGTTGGTAGTGTTAGCTACGACACCAGACACAAAGCAGAACGGAGAAATGCTCTCATTTCATTTTAGCTCCATTGCCAGTCAATCCAGCTGTTCACACCAGATGTGAAGTGGAATGGACTTACAGCTACCTTTACAGTGTGAGTTTATTTTTTTCTGAGCTGCAAGCTGAATTCTCAGAGAAGCCCAGAGGAAATGCTATAGACAGTCAAACCTTCCAGCGTACAGCCTAATAACGATCACATTTCCCTTTTTATATATATACATTCACTTTTCCCCCTTCAGATCCAGAACATTCAGCTGGAGAGAGAGATGGCGCTGGCATCAAATCGCAGCCTGGCTGAGCAAAACCTGGACATGAAGCCCCGTCTGGAGTTGCAGAAGGAGGTGCTGGTGGAGAGATATTCTCAGCTAGAGGCCGTCAGAGAAACCTACAGACAACACTGCTCCCTGAGAGGTAGGAGGGAGGAACAAAGGGTGAATGAATAAGAGTGAGAGATGGAGACTTCTGGGACTTTCAAACAGTGACTCATGAGCTGTAATGGTGTCTGACTGTCGAGCAGCTTGGAGCAGACCTTGGAAATGTCACAACAAATAAAATGTTTGTCCTGCAATCCACCAGAAAGACTAGAAAGTCTTCTTCATACTGACTGATCAAATGTTGATTGTGGGGGAGGGGGATGTATTCCCAGCTAACAAGTTAACAACACAAGCAGCTACACCGTCGTCTAATGTCATCTCATAAGAACATTAGTTTTCCATCTTTATGTTGGCTGGAGGACAGACATGAGCAACCCTGCAGGAAGCTCATATCATCATGAATCAGTACAGAGACAAGAGCACCAGCAGGTTTGCACTAACTAAACTCTGAACTTCATTGTTTGAATTATAAAACAGCTATCTAATATTAAGGAACGCATTATCTGCCATTCTACAGAGGGCCAAAACTGCCAAAATAAAAAAAATGACTTATTTAATAAATTAATATGCCAAAAAATATATTAAAAATAAATGTAGGCATTAATTAATTTGTAAATGTGACACATTTTTTTTAAATGTACATTTGTATTAACCCGGTTATTATTATTATTATTATTGTTATTATTATAAATAATATATAGGCATATTATTTATTCATTTGAAAATGTATTTATGTATTTGTTTCTGTATTATTTTTCCAATGCATTCTCCCTATATTTTAGTTCCCCAAGCTGGTGTGTGTTGTGTGTTCAACCTTTCACCTGTTGACTGGTAGAATGCATAGACTATTTGATAAGTGATTCATATTTTGAGAGGATTTGCTTCTTTTTTTTGCCAGATGGATTCTTTTGGGGTTTTTCAGACTAAAACAAAGTAAGCAGTTTGAAGACTTTGAGCTCTGATTGTTATTTTTAGTCACATAAATAGAGAAGAAGACAAAATCAATAGGTGAACTGAATATGACATCAGCGATGGGTGTGGTCATGAGTGCGCTCTGTTGTAGCTATAACCACGCCCAACAGTGATGTCACAGTACACCGACCACAATGCCCAAAGACAAGTGTGACTACTGAAACACAGTAACAACAGTCAACTCGCCGAAACTACTGAGATAGTTGGATAAAAAGTCTTTCACCATCCGTGACTGTGGAAGTCACCATCATCATGTCTCAGTGTATGACATGGTCTGGATGTAGACTGACTGTGCTTTGTCTACTTCTTTGTCTCTAGTCACACTCACTCACCAATATAACTAGGGCTGCAACTAACAATGGTTTTTCTTATCGATTAACCTAACGATCATTTTTGGTGATGACCACAACCCAAAGAGATTCAGTTTACTGTCAAAGAGGACTAAAGAAAGCAGAAAATATTCAGATTTGGGAAGCTCACATCAGAGAATTTGGAGATTTTATTCTTAAAAAAGGACTCAATGATTATCAAAATGAATTACCATTTCATAGTTGAACACTAATCGACTCTAATTCTATTGATGTCCAGATGAACAGAACCCTTTTTGCTGTGCTGCGCTGGGATGTATTTTTATTTTGATGTCTAACACACTCTCTATGTCTCTCTCCCCGACTCTTGCTCTCCTCTACCTCCTCCTCAGACGGGATGGTTGGTCAGGTGTCCCCAGAGGCATTGTTCTCCAGACTACAGACAGAGAGCAGCAAAACAGAGGAAGAGTCAGAGGTCAGAACACACACACACACACACACACACACACACACACACACACACACACACACACACACACACACACACAGTGTATTAGGCTTAAATGTACTTAAACAGCTCTGTAGTGTATAAATAAAAAGAGGCCCATTTAAATGTGAGTGCACATTTTTATCAGTATATTTCCATAAATATTATGAGCATGCAGCTGTAAGGAGGTCAAAGGTGAAAGCAACAAATGACCACATTATAGTCCGTACTCTAAGTAAGAATGCAGACACAAAAGAGAGTGGCTGGTTTAACACATGACATACACCCTTCAACTCCTGAGTGCTCAAACAGACACTCCCTGCCATGCCAGTTGTCCGCCGCTCGTTATGAGAACATTCCCTCCGTATCTGCAGACACTTCCTCCATAAACTGTTCTGCTCTCTGGCACTTCTGTCAGACGTTTACTGGTGCCTTCCTGTGGCTCTGTGTAGAAAAACAGCAGAGACTCTGTTATAAAACTATTTAATCGCAGCTGTCTATAATGCACTAAAGCCTGTCTGAAAGCTCTCTGTAATGCACTGAAATAATATAGTGTACTATTCCTGCCGCATCATATTGTCTTTTCAGTGGGGCGTTTTCCTCCTCAGTTACACAGATAATCTGAATACATACAATGTCTAATGGTTTCAGATTCACCTCCAAGGTCATATAATGGTTATCATTGTATGTCAGAGGTTCCCAACCTCTCTTGGCTGCTATTTCAACCAAAGACACTTCTTTGCTATTGGACACTTTTGAAATATATATATATATATATGTATATATATATATGTATATGTATATGTATATACATACATACTCCACTCTGACTGGACAGTCTGACGTAGATGCCGTATTATGTATAAGCAAGTTATTTTAAAAAAGCTGCTTTACAGGGATGTTAGTACTTAGCCGTTAGCATCACTGTCAGCGTTTGTGTTTGTCTGACTGCAGGCTCTAGCCGATGAGTTCCTGGAGGGCTCTCTGCCGTTGGACTCATTCCTCGACCACTTCCTCTCCCTGCGCTCCCTCGCTCACAAAAGACGGGTGCGGATAGAGAAGCTGCAGGAGATCCTGCGACAGAGGAGTGAGGGCAATCCCACCGCCATGACATCATCAGCAGGCATCTGCCAGGACCCTGCCGCCACACCCTCACCGTGGAATCAGCCAACGACAACAGCAACGACGACGAATCAGCAGCAGCCGAACTCCAAACCTCAGTCCTCCAGCTACCAAAACGCCTCGCAGCCGGCCTCCTCATCTGCAGGGGGCTCCTCCGGCCTCCCCTACAGCCCGTACCCCGTCGCCCCCCCCAACTCGGCCCCCGCAGCAGCAGCCGCTGGCCCGGCCAACCCCACGCCACAGTTCCCTCCCTACCCGGTTTCCGGCTCACCTTTCACCCCAGGAGGCAGCTACTCCGGCCCCAGGCCTGCTTTCGGGCCTCCGGCTTCAGCTGCCTGCCCTTACCCGACCCAGCCCTCTTTCCCTGCTCCGCACCCGGGCTCAGCGTTCGGCCAGTACACCCCCAGCCACCCCCAGAGTGGCCCCGCGCCCTACCCGGCCTCCTACAGCTACGGCGGCTACAGCTACCCAGCCGGGCCCGCCTACTCCAATTCTCAGTCGCCAACGGGGAGACCGATCTACAGACCAGGATACGGAGTTCCACAGCCGTACTCCTGAAAGCACTACTGCTCCTCTGTCTCAATTCTTCCCTTCTTTCTGTCTCGCCCTTCTCTTCTCCCTGCCTCCCTGAAATCCTCACCCCTAATTCCCTCTCCTCCTCTTGTCTTTTTACCTTTTCTACAGTCCCTCTTCCTTTCTCCCACGCTCCCAGATTCAAGAGGTCTCTTGCTTTACTTCTCTTTGTTGCACTATTTCTCTCTTTCTCTAATTATCAATCTGTTGATCTCTCTGTCTTTCTCTCTTTCCTTTCCCCCTTTCTCTGTCACCCTCCAACCCACCAACTCCCCCACACTAGTCTCAGGTTGTTGCGTTGTGTTTAGGTGTTCAAACACTTGTATCTTCATACACTCACTGTCCTCCCTCCTCCCCTTCCATTTCAAATGTGTGTGTTGCTATTTGGCAATCAGAAAGTCCTTATAAACACATAAGTGCACTCCCCCTTATGACGAATACATGAAAAAAAAATCAGTTTTTGTAACACTGCATCTGTGTCCAGTAGCTGTCTGATTCACATTATTATTCATGAGCACAGTCTGCGTAATGGAAGGTTTATGTCCTGGTCTGGTTTCAGTAACTAACTGCTTGATTCCACTGGGCCCGGCTGCGACACATTCTGGCTGTGACCACCGTTCTAGACATGGCTTGAGATTCCATCAGAAGCAGAGCGTTTCAGAAGCGGCTCTCTGCTCTGCTCCGCTTAAAAAACACCACGATCAAGACGGAATCAAGGAATTCAGACACAGAAACGGCATAGAGAATCTGGCCACTTTTCAAAATAAAACACCCTGTGCCGACCTCTGATCGTAAAAACGGACGAAAAGGAAACGGCTGAACACACTGTAAAACCTGACTGAGTTAAACAAAAAACCGAGGGAAAAGTAACTCATGTATTTATTGTTAAGGTAACTTGGCTAAATTAAGTTAATTGTACTAATTAACTAACTTAAATGCACGTTCTTTATAGAAATTTTAAAACTATTTACCATTTTTGGGGAAAACAGCAGCCAATTAATCTAATTGTTACTGCTGTAATTAAGTTGTCAACAATAGTCTACTTGTTTTTTCATCACATATTTATGCTACAGGGGATCATTTAGAACGGTTTGGATGCATATTTGGGCATATGATGATTTATAAACTAAACTAAAAACAAAAAAATGAATGGTCCTAAGCTATACAGGATTATAGCACTGTATCAGTGGGTTTTACATATTTGTAATGATATAAAGTCGACTTAAAGAAAATAGGTCAATGGAAGAACTGGAATTATATCACCAATACTTAAAATACTGTATAAATTTAAGTGCACTCAAAAATTTTTGAGTTGGGTTTAATTAATGGGAAATGAATGGATTTAAATAATGTTCTGAGGAAAAAGTTATGTGAACTTACTTCTTTTATTAAGTTAGCTTTTACATTATCAAGGAATAATGTCGAAATCAACTCCGAATTGGCGGGCAAAAACGCTCCGCTTCTGAAGCGCTCCTCGTGGGTTACAAAGCTGCATGCGGGATGAACCAAAAGTGAGTAGCAGACGCAGCGTCACAGAGCTGTGCGCGGTGGAATCCAGGCAACTAAGGATTATATTGGAAAAGTAGATGGCTGTCACAAAATATGGCTCTCATGTTCAGTTTAGTTAGGGTTTTGAGTGGAACTGCCTGGTCTGTCAGCTCTTCCAGACACTGACCTACTCCAAACAGAAAGGTGGCAGGTGCATTTCATTATGCACAGTTACCCATGGACAGTGGGCAGAAGAACCACCAGTAACTCCACAAACCAGTCACCCTTTAGTTTCTTCAACCAAAGAACCTTTTCCTTTTAATTTAACATTGAAAGAGGAAGTTAGCTGCAGCCGTACTTTCCTTGCCATCACTAAAGGGTCGGTCAAACCAGAAAGTGGCACAGAAAAATATTTTATTCAAGCATGACTACTCGCAGGGCTAGCTGACCAGCTAACACACAAGGCAGCTGGGAACAACAGTTGTGAACCAAGCTTCTTTTCTATTTTCTATGTGCTGGTTTACTCGTCCTTGGTACTTTGTTCTCAGGATTGTTAATCATTTGCAGGAGAGGGAACAAATGTGTTAACAGCTACTGTAAATGCCTCTCAGTAAGCCACATATCAGCCTGGTGCCGGGACTGCACAGGCTCCGAGCGAGAGCTGCCTAGCAGCCCCAGCAATAGTTTTGGAAAGGCTATTTTAAACCACACCAAGTCTTCATGTGTTTTTCCATGGTGCATGCTAACCCTACATTAGAGTCCTCGAGTCCATTTTCCTCAAAAACAAAGAGAAGAAAAACTTTAAAGCTATTGCACTAATTTTTATTTCTTTGGCCACTTGGGGGCAGCGGAGAGCTTGTTCCACTGTAACGACACCGACCTTGTAAAGCCGATACAGCAATCCTTGTTAGCAAACAGTTGTCTATTTCCACATCCAGCAGACACAGAGCAACATTACTATTATTTTGGGGTTGCGTTTGTAGGCTCAAAGTGGCTTTTAAAAAAGACTGTAGAGCTGAGGGGAGTTTGTCACGTTACACATCTGATCTGCTGTTATTATAAAAATAGTGATTAGTGCAGCTTTAAGAAATGGATGGGTCTTATGAACCTCTCTGTCCCGTGTATAGTGAATTCAGTAGTGTCTCCATCCCTTGACCCAAATAAAGATGGCAGCCAGACATGTAAGGAGCTTTCATTTTCAGTTGTTAGCCTTCAGTCTTCAGTAGGATAGCTCACATTCTAGTACATGTAGCTTATTCCACAAACCTTACAAACAGCTAGCGAGATAGGGCAGGAATGTAGAGCTACCAGATGTTTGTAAAGGCTTACAGAACGAGCTGCTGTGGACGGCAGATGTTTACTACAGCATACAGCAAGCTAGCTTAAGCAGCTAATGTTGCAGATTGCCCACCTGTCCAACAAATATAACACCACGTCAGGACTTCTGAGTCTTAATGCTCTTCTCACCTTTTAAATTCTTGGGTTTCCAGCTTGTTTTGGCAGGACTGCACCTTTTCCAGCAAACAGCCAGACAGGTTTGTTTGATAAAGTGTGGCGTTTCTGTGCTCAGAGCAAGACCAATAATAAAGTCTTACACGGGTTGGAGGTGTTAGCGATGAAATAGATAGTTTGATGGAGATTTAGGGGGAGCTGGGAGCACTGTAGTCCTGTAGTAACACCCTGACTATATATGAGACAATGATAGCTGCTGGAGTCTCTGTCCTTCACTGACCAGGTTGGAACCAAACACGCTCCCCCACTACTTCTTCTGTGCCCACTTTGTCTTTATCGTCCCCACCAGCCAACACTCCTCTGTCCTCTCCATCACTCCATCCTCCTCCTCCTCCTCCTCCTCCTCCTCCTCCTCCTCCTCCTCCTCCTCTCCACATCTGCTCGTTGAACATGAACTGATGCTTGACAATGATAACCAGAAGAAAATAGTTTTATTTCTGTAAGTTCACACTATCAGTGAGAATACATATGATGTGTATAGTATAATGGAGTGAGGATATAAAGGTTGGCGATCAGTTCTGTGTCATATAAATCAATTCTAATAATATCATTGAAATTGCGATAGGTGATTGATGAAGGGTCATTTATGGATGGTTTACAAATAGACACTGCCTCTAAATTTCACTTTGGAATAACCACCTGACTAGAATATCACATGCGATTGTTACCCTGCAGTGTAACATTTCATTAAACTAATCATACTTTCTCTTTTACATCTCAGAGCACTTTATTAGTATTATCACTATAGTTAAAAAGCAGCTATACAGTACAGTAAAGTTTCCTCCCAGTTCAGAACATCAGGAGTGAAGGGAGCAGATGCGAGGGAAATCAGGGGTTGCCGCAACTGTGTCAGGAAGTCTTTAAACTGAAGTGCCAATATTGTGACGTGCACAGCATGAGCCGAACTGTATCTCAAAGTGACCAGACTGAATCCAAATGTACCCTGGCCTCCACAATTGTGTAACACTCCCCAAAAACAAAGCAAGGGTATCATTGCATGGAGCTCAAGTTGCAAGGTCACAATTGACTTGGGGTTATTAAATTGCAGGTAGGTGTTAATGCAGCCAGATGAAGGAAGTTAGAAGTGTTTGTGTGACTGAAGGGAAGGCAGTGTGCCGTATACACAACCACAGAGCAGCAACACACAGCTTTTATCAGCAGGTCATTTTGGTGTCGGGACACTGCATGTCCGAACTGGTTGACCACTGGGTTCAAAAGAGAATCATGTGCTCTTTTTTTTTTTTTACGTCAGGAGGGACTTCACCCTTTCTCCTTTCCTGTACTGAGATGTGCTTTGTGTTTGGCTCGCCCATGCTGAAAAGACGAGCACATTTTGAAGAGGGTTATAAGAGCTACATATAGCAGAACGCTAGCTAACTAGCTAACTAATCTACATCAATCGTTTGCTAACTAGGTAGCTAAAATGTATCTGTGTTGCGTATCTAAGTCCAGGTGAGGAGAAATCTGACCGAGACCAAGTTGGGAAAGGGGCGGGACTTAGCAGTGATGACTCTGTCGTAGCTTGAAATTCATCATTGTGTATCTGCAGGACCAACAGCCAATCAGTGATCACGTGACAGCCTGCTACCGGCCGACTGGTGACCTCATCACCGAGGATACCACTGAGGTTGTTATCAGTAAATTGCTGTAGTACTTTTTTATTATTAATATTTATAATCTTGATTCGAGTTTCAAAGGCTAATAACTGATCTTTTAGGCATAGACTTTTTTTTTTTTGCCCGTTGGACAGCTCATATTGTTTCCCTGTGAATGAGCTGTCAGTTCTCATATCTGATAGAAATGATGAGCAACGTGACGAGAAAAACCTGGCCAGATGCATAAAACTCTGTAGCTCCACAACTCTTTTCGTCAGATTCATTGTTGAAACGGGCCGAGAGCACAAGCTTCATTTCCAATCCAAGAAAAGCCTTTGAACATCTGTTTGCATATCGATACTTGTGCCCAGTCCATCCCTGATTACACCTGTCAATGAGAAGAACAGCACATAAGAGACAGTACAACTGATTGTGTTGAATCTGCAGCAGAAAGTGTCGCTGATCACTGATATACTGGTTGCAGCAGTCCAGATGCTCTCGATCACAGACCTGATCTGCAGAGTAAAGGCTGTGATACAGGGCAGGGGTTTGGATGGAATCAGGCCCAACTGCCCTCTGCTAGTATGGGAAAATGTCATCAACAGAAGGTTAGGAAAGAGGAATTGTAGCCTGAGAGTGATGGTTCAGACCACTAGCATGACAGCAGTTATTTCTGATGCAAGTCATGGGTACCACCTTCTGATAAGCCACCGTTTATAAAGCATAGTAACTGAAGGCTTCATGAATGATGTACTAATGAGTCATAGATCAGTTTATCTAAGAAGTTATAGGTCATAAATAAGAACGACTTCTTGGGTTGGCAGCTTGAAAAATTTCCCATTAGCCTGTCATTTTATTTTTTTAAAGTTTTTTTTTTTGGCCTTTTATTGGATAGTGACAGCCAAAGATACACGGGACTTTGTACATGGGTCACCAGCTCTACTAACTGAGCTGACCAGGCGACCTGAACCAGCAGTCTTTTTAAATGTTCATCTTATTTTCACGTGAAGAAATGTGTGTTTCCAAGTTAGTAGTATTCATGCGGTTTGGAATGAGTAGGAACAAACACTGACTTTGTCCAAAAAAAAAAATCCTATTAAGTTTGTATGATTGTTAAAAATAATAAAAATGCAGACGTAGAAAACGTTCCCTAAACAAGGAATAATCTGCTCTAAATGAATCCAGGTCACTGGTTTTACACAAACTTCTTCCAGTTACTGAATTCACCGTTTGGGTTAATGTACAGTTTTGAGTATGATCGTGTATTAACATTATATAACTGCATTATTACCTTCTAGAAAGGCTAAACATACAGCAGGTCAGTGGGGTTTTTCACAAGCTGCCAACCCAAAATGTGTCCTCATTAATAACCAATATTTAAACATTAGTCAATGATTCATGAACAGTTAATAAGCCATTAGCTTCACTTTACAAAGGGTTGCCTTGTTCACCCACAGTACACAAACATGCTATCTATCAGCATGCTTCCTGCATGTGACGGTGCATGCTCCACCTGTACTCGCCGCTGCAGCCACAGAGCTCCACACGGTGGCGCAAGCCAGCAGACTGACGCCGGCCGGGTTCAGGTGTGACCTGCTGTCAATAAATCGTGGTATAGAAGCTGTGCGAGGATCAGTCAGGCATCGGTCTGCTCGCAGGAAATGATGCATGAAGAGTAAAAGGCTGAGGAAGGATGTCCCGTTGCTGCACTACTGATAGTATGGTGCTGACATCATCCTCCTTCCCTCCATATCGCCTGTGTTCCACTTCAGTCTTATAACCTCTTACTCACCACACAGACCAGTGAGTGCAAAGGCGAATCACTTTGAGCATGGCGAGCTTTACGTATCCGACTTAAAGACGTGAATGATTCTGGTGGCTTTGTGCTGAGGACGTCAGTGTCCCTTTAGAGCAAGAATGACAGTAATAATAGTATTACAGTGTTTAGACCAAGCACAAGGGAGATGTTCTAATATAGTCTAGCATTAATATTATCCAGAGGGAAATAACATTCAGATGGATTTATCTGTTCTTCTGGTGGTGATGAATTATATAATGATAATGATGACTGTGGATTGTTAAAGAGCCTTTTTTGTTTTTGTTTTCTGTCTCTTTTGGGGTTGTGAATAATTAAACAGAAGTTGATCTAAATCAGAACTCTCTGAGTCTTCATTTCCAAGTGCTGCCCGTTGGTCCACATTGAGGAAATGACACTTATTGGGGTTAGTCTGTTATTTTAATACAAATCCTTTTAAATGTACAATATGTAATTTGTGCCGCTAGGAGCAGCTTATACAGTGTGATCCACCAGTGCACATCCACTGAGAATGGACTTGGACAGTGAAGGAGGAGACATCTTGTGTCCAGCAGGAAAACAACATTTGAATATTCAGAGATTCTTTAATGAGGTAGAAGGAGTATACTGTATGTATGTCTTATAAGTTGGAGGGAATCTTTAATTTGTATGAAGTCAGCCTGGTCTCATTAAATGACGTTAAACAGTGAAGCACTTTAATCAGACATTTTAGATTATTTGACTGTGAGCTGCAGCGTGAGCACCGATCACACCTACTGTACATCCACCTACACTACACAACTATTCTCACCTACACAGCACGATCTGTGGTGACACCCAGCCAGCAAGGCGTTTCTGGTAAATGAACAAAGTGTAAAAGCAAAACTAGGTTTGATCAGAGTGAGCTTTATCAGCAGGGTCAGATGCTCGCTGCGTTATATGGCGGAATATCAATGAATATGTGAATCTCCTTCTTGCTCACAACAGAGATCTAGGGTAGAAAAGTGTAGTGTCTGACAAAGTGTGAATGTAAGTGTTTAGTCAGATGGAAACCTTTAAGCCATGTTAGCCAGGGTTTTAATCTCATCAGACCTTTATGACCCCAGCAGTCACACAGAACCGCCACACTCCAGCCGTATGAGGACACTGATGTCATGTCTTCTGTACTTTTTCGTGACATTCTACAGTCAACAATAGAAAAAACAAAGATGTGGAGGATCAGGAAATAAAGAACCATAAGTGCTGCCTCAGCTCAGTGTAGAGAGGATGAGAGGGGTTGCCCATGATGGCTTTCAGCTTCCCTCGCATCCTCATTTCAGTCACAGCCTCCACACTGTCCAGCTCCATCCCTACCACCGAGCTGGCCTTGGCACCCCCAGTGCCGATGCCATCCCCCCAACAGACCACCGCAAAGAAGAGGACACTGGCCACTACAGACTGGTAGAACATCTGTAGTAGCCGAGTGCACACGTTGAATGACCTTAGCCTCCTCAGAAAGAACAGCCTGCTCTGACCTTTCCTGTAGAGGGCCTCAGTGTGATCCGTCCAGTCCAGTTTGTTGTTGAGTGTCAACCCCTCCTCTGTCTGTCTGTCTGTCTGTCTGTCTGTCTGTCTGTCTGTCTGTCTCTCTCTCTCTCTCTCTCTCTCTCTCTCTCTCTCTCTCTCTCTCTCTCTCTCTCTCTCTCTCTCACCCCAACT